TTTTTTTTGGAAAAGGCCATGAGTATATAGCAGAGCTATATTTTAGCCACTGCACTAGTGAAGTATATATTTGAGTTGATTTTTTTTTTTTTTTGTGCATTTATCTTAGATTTTTAATGATAGCCAGTGACAGTAGTAGAAGAAGGATACTGCCTGATTTAATAACATGAACACGTAATGAAACAGACTTTAGAACATAGTAAGAATGCCAAGCTAACTTGAAAACAGACTCTTTGTATTAGCTATTTGCAGGCCTGAGAGACTGTCAAAACCAGCCTCCAGGGAAATGGTGGCCATACTACCTAGAACATGGCCTAGGCCAACTCTCTCTTATAGACTGTTAAATGATGCCACATTATTTATCACAGAAGAAGTGTTGGGTCCTTGGAAGAATGATAGAAGATGGTATAGATGCAGCTTTGCATCTATTATAACTGTTCTAGAAATCCTGCTGTACAGTGAAGGAATTTAGTGCACTCAAATTCCCCACTCTCTTAGCTCAACAATACAGATCAGTTTTCCCCTAAATTTCTTCGTATTGGCAATCAGAAGTTAAATATACAAGAATCATTCTGTCCTTATTCATGTTGACATTGGTGATAGTATCCACTTTTTAAGTTTACTTCTCTCCAGTTTATAAAGTCCTATAGAGATTCCTTTGGGGATGTGTAGCATATGATTCACAGTTTGCAATACAAATACCCTGATACATCACTTATTTACTATTAGTATTTGATTATTATACCATTTTGCAAAGTCTTAAAACCACATTTTAATTAGTGTTGCTTGGAGCAGTTCAGAGTATATTTTTTCCTTGAAAGCAGAAGCTCTAACGGATATAATTTATGCTCTCTTTGCATGCAGCATCTCAATGAGAAGGTTATTACATGGAACATCTCCATTCAGGTGTTTGTAGTAGAGGTATTCTTCTGCCTGCATACTGATGGCCCGGATTTCTGGTAGTCGCAGGAGAAGCTGCCCAAATTTGTCTGTTTGCTGTGGGTAATTACACATCGTGTAGTCCAGCAGAGCAGCATTCACTTGTTCCTGAACACCCTCCACAAGCTGGAAGTTCTCTAGATTTTTGACATCTGAATGATAATTAAGACAACAACAAAAAAAGTAAGAACAATTGAGTTGCATTTTAATTACGGCTTACTAAGGCAATTTTTCACTAAATGTTGTGGGTTTTTTTGTATTTTTTTTCCTCCTGACAAAAGCATACTCTACAAGCTGCTGAATATTCAGTGATCCCTTTTGCGAACTTTCCTGGGAAAATGATCACAAAAGAGCTTTAGCGGAGTGTCTTGTTGAAATTCTGCATATACCTCAAATCAATTAGACACCAATGGAGTCTGAGCAAGGTCAGCTCTTTTTGTATCTTACAAAAAGAAAGGTTGAGGATTCCTAAAGTAGAAGACCATGATATATTGCTAGCAAATGAGTCCCAAGAGGAAGCCCTATCTTTAACCTAGTATGTTACACAATTCATATAATTCTGTATTAATTTTTCTGACCCAAGGTGAAATCTGTGTCCAGGGTATGATGTAGTTAATTCTAATAAAAAGTGACAGCGCTCTTGTTTCTGTTTGACATTTTCTAAATGATTCTGAAAGCCTTTGACTTGTCTAGTCTATGTTAATGAACCATCTGGTACACTCCAGTGACTGCCAAAATAATCTTCCCTACTAGAAACTCTCTAAAATATATATTTCATTGACTAATGATCTTTATAAATTGAAATCATTGTCCTTTGGGTGGAATACCAGATAAGAGTGGTGCCCTTTAGCCTGACTATGCTTCCTGAAATCCAACATGCTAATTTTATTTGGTATTGGACAACACAGGTGCTTTCATCAGTAGGTAGGCAAGATTTGTTCACTCTGCCTCTCTTTGTCTGTCTTCTTTCTGTTCCTACACAGGAAGTTTAAGCTACAGAAATGGTGGTCAGAGGTAAATCACAGAATCATAGAATCACAGAATTGTAGGGCTGGAAGGGACCTGTAGAGGTCATCGTGTCCAACCCCCCCACCTAAGCAGGCTCCCTAGAGTAGGTTACACAGGTAGGTGTCCAGGCAGGTCTTGAATATCTCCAAAGAAGGAGACTCCACAACCTCCCTGGGCAGCCTGCTCCAGTGCTCTGTCACCCTTATCACAAGAACTTTGTGCAGAACTTCCTATGCTCCAGTTTGTGGCTGTTTCCCCTTGTCCTGTCGCTGTGCACTGCTGAAAGAAGTCTGCCAATATACTAACTCCTTACTGTTTGAGTCCGTTTGTAAAACCTGTTGCCATGCTGTCTTTTGACATATCTGAAGACTGCAGAAATTATTCCAAAACTTGCAAATCAGACTGCTGCTATAATGCAGAAAGTGGGAAGCGATCAAAGTACTCTTGCTGGGAGAACTTATTTTGGTCGACGTTCAATCATTTATACCATCAGTAGAGTACTGTAATACGGTTTCTTTGAATAAAGACAAATGTGTCCCTATATGGGTGGCCTTTGAGCAAGGGAGAGGGTGAATTTGGCAGAATTTGGTTCATTGTAAATCCCAGCCTTTGAATGGAGGGGAAATGAGTGTTTTCCTTTGTAAAATAGGAACACACATTGGTTCCCCAGTCCAGTGGACTGGAAAGCTGTGTAAGTTGGATCTAATTGCACCTTTTCCTAGAAGAGCTTTAAATAGAACAAATGGTTCCTGCTCATAACTGTGCTAGAATAAGAGGAAAATCGATGGTGACAAACATTTTTCCTCAGGATCAGAAAACAGGAGGGAAGCCACGGATCCCAGTGGCAGAGCTGGATTGCATGCACAGACTTTGAGCAGGAGCCTCTCTGGAGCATGCTGTACTTGCTGCTGGCTGCCCGTTACCTTCACTCTTGCATGGGCTTTCTGCAAGGTGGATGGTTCCTGCCATTATTATTGTCTGCCCCTTTCCCACTTTCACTGTGGAAATGAAGCAAGTGGCTCCCTGAATCTGATGCTGCTTGCATGGGAACCAGGACATGACATCTGCTTGAATTTTGCTATCTGGCTTTAAAGAACTCGCTAGCAGTACTTAGGTGATGATGACTGTCCAACTAGAATCATCTGAAATTTCAGTATCCAGAGTGAGGAGAACTGGAAATTTCAGAGCCGCTGTGCGTGGTCCCTGAGCTATTCACACTTATTTATCTGAAGTCTTTCTGCCCATGTCCCTGGTAAATCATGTTTTCGTATATTACTCTGGATGTTTTCTAAGAACTGTTTGTTTTCACATAGGTACTTAAAACTCCCAAGGCATTTTGCAGTGAGTGTGACTTGATTTAAAAGTTGAGTGTTGTGTTATGATTAATAGATTGCTTTCAGAGGCAAGTTGCAGTCATGAATGAATTGGCTGAACATAAATTCCCCCAGCAAATGTGGCCTGTGTTGGAGTTAAATTGTGTTAAACAGAAAGATAAATTGTATAATGATTTTAGAATTAGCATGTCAAACCTTTTTCCTGCTAAAAATAATTTCAAAATAACTTTAAACAGTTCTTTAAATACTTGTGCATGGCAACAAAAGCATTAGAGTCAGATTTAAAAATAAGTACAATTAACACAAACAGTAAACAAAAAGTAGTTCTGGGGCTTCTATGCTGCATCCAGACAGAGGAAATACTTTTAACGTATTCCTGGCATTTGTGATGAGAATTGGATGTTTGTAAACAAGGCGGTTTTAGTTAATCAGTCTGAATGCAAGCAATTTTCCTTACTCTTTCTATAGTGAATGGGAATATTCATGGTCCAAGTGACTACAGTGTTGGACATCATTACATTTGTGTGTTGATCTCTCTGGCAGTGCAGTCATGACAGAGATGGTGTGGAGGCAACCTGACGACCGGTTGTGTCTTTTGAGTGAGGTCCTCATGGCGTAACCAAGATTGGCAGTTTAGTATTTAGATGATAGTGACTTTATCTAACTACAGTTTTATTTTTGTTGCAGATGTTTCTCACGTGCTTTGGGTTTGTTTTTGTTCTTGACAGTTATTATTTTGGCTAAAAGAGCTTGCTTTAGTTTTCCAAGTATTTCCTTTTCGATAAGGATCCTTTGAACGCTGATGAGGTAAACTGGCAAAACACCAGGTGATGCTGATGTAACTGCTGAAGTCAGAGCTGTATAATGAGCATGAAATCTGCTACTGACGTACAACACATCAGTCTTTTGTGCTTTCGTGTAATTCTTCACTCCTGTCTGCTTTTTAGAATTGCAGTGTCTCTTACCAATTTTATTTCAGTTAGTAACAATTTAAAGTACACATGTTTAAGCTTAATGCAAGAAATAATTTTCCAGGGCTTAGACACTTGTAAATTAAATGAGTAGGAATAGGTCCCCCCCCCTCCCACCCACACACCCTTAAATCCTAGCAGCTAGAAAAAGTGTTTTGTGTTGCTTACAGTAAGTATCAGTCTCTTATCTCTTCTACTTTATTCACTCAGGGACTAATTACGAACTTTTTACATGAAACAGCCTTACTGCAAGCTCACAGTGGGGCGCGCATCTATTTCTATCCTTATTGGAAAGTAAACCCTTAGGTCTTCTGGAATATATTATATGTTTTACAAGAAATAGCAATTGCTTTTCTGTCAAACAAAGAATTTTTTGTTCTCTATAGCTTACTTTTGACGATTAAGACAAAAACAGTTTTATAGTGTGTCAGGATCTGCTCTGCACTTACTGTAAAAATGTGCTACTATTCCCACAAATCTCCCAATTTTGATTCTTTTATACATCTGCTATAAAGCTGTGTTTTTAGCTGAAACTGCATGCAACATTCAGACCAACAAGAACATTTCTGCATATTTTTCCCAAAAATGGGTCTGGTCTTTAGAGGGGAAAATATTTAGATTTCAGAGAGGTTTTCTCCCTCTCATATTCCAAACATGAAATACTGAAAATTTGGTGGTGTATTAATCTGTAGAGAGATTCCTTTGGTCTGGGAATTCTGAAAAGCAAAATGAAAGAGAATGAGAGATTTAAATCTGAAAAAGAGTAACTCCTTAGGAGCAGCGTAAATATTTCCTAGAGAAAGCTGGTTAAATTTTACTGCACGCATTTTATCAGGCACTTTTTTCATGTAAAACGGGGAACAGGTGCACACACTGATACATCAGCTTCCACTGTGGATTTTGCACCATTGCAAATTATGGTATTGCAAAGGTGAAATAAGGTTATGTTCAGGATTCTCTGAGGGTAGAAGTCCCTCATTTTCATAAGACTGGAAATGGACATTCCAGGCAGTAAGACTTGATCCCAGCCCAGGGCTCATCTTCCTCTCCTTTAAAGGGTACAACTCTATCCATGTAAGGAGGCTAAGGGATTTTACTAAAATCCAACAGGCCCAAATGCTTAGCAACTCTTTGGAATGGTCAAAAAAGTATAGCTAAAATATGTTTTTTAAACTCTGCCAGGGTGGCCTTCAAGCTCATCTCCAAGAATTTTGTCCAGCTGGACTGGAAATTTTGTTGGTTAATTTTGATATGTGATAAAGAAATCTTTGAGAACAAGAATAGTAATGGTTGATAACTGCCAGCTTGAAAATTGTTCATGATTCTCTGTAGTTTAGACAGGAACAGCCTAGCACATCTGTCATAATAGCAGATATATGGCATTCTGTGTCTAAGTTTTCTTGACAACCAGACTACTATAATGAAGAAAGATTTGTGTTAAAGATGAACTCCTTATTGGAAAATTCCCCTTGATTTTATTTGAGCTTGTTTGTACTGAATATTATTTACTTAGAAGGCATGGGAAACAGATTCTTTTAGATGTGTTTATTGATTGATTGGAAGGTGCTTTTCTCAGCACTTACCAAAACTTGAAAAACTTTTACATTACAGCAACAGAGATCACATTTGTATTCGTAAAGCTTCCCAACTCTGAAGTAAATGTATTGAAAACTTTTCCTGTTTTCTAAAGGGTTCTTTCTCTGTCTCTAACAGGGTAAAGATTTATCTCTGACTGTTTATGAGGGTCATAAAGCAATTTTCATCTTGAGTTGAACATAGCATCAGATAATGGGCACATTGTTTTGAAAATCTTAATTGAATTATTCTCTAGCAATGTAT